GATGCGTCGCATGTGGAGTTCTTCCTTTAGAATCAGCTGACAGGTCCCATAGCCTATCCCAACAATGTCGCACAAGTCGTTGATGGTACGACGTCGATCTTCGTGAATGGCCTGCCGAATCTTCGTAACATTTTCGTGTGTTGTGCTCGAAGATGGTCGTCCAGTCTTGAAACTTTCCGATCGCACCTCGTACATTTCTCTGGTCACCCCATACACTATTAAAGTAGGAAGAGTTTGAAGTTCTCAAGGGGGTGAGTCTGAGTTGTAGCGCCATGTATTCTGCTAGAAGTTTACGAACGTTTCACAGCTCCTTGCTGCCTCCATCATCAGGGCCTTACTCTGGTTGAAACATATCGTTCTTTGAATAAGGAATGCGCTGTGGGCCTCCACCTCTTCAAATTACCACGACGTGTTTCTGACTTGCACACACGAGGGTTTGTAGTCTTTGCGGCGCAGTACACTAGAAGCTCTTAGACACTTTCAATGAGGAAATTTTCTTCACGTCAATTCCAATTCGCTATGCATTATTATAATACTATCAGCTCTAAAGTTACACAGAACCTTTGCAGCTTCATTTAGTAACCAACAATCTACTTTCACGAATTTTAACAAACGCTGTGACCTGTCATAATCACCGTTAAATTACGGAACAGAAGCATGAAAAGTTACTTCAAAACTGCATGTTCGATAGTCTATAAATACGAATAAAGGACAATATGCCTGAAGCTGGTTTGACGCTGAGAAAGAAACGGCCATACACACTCTCATAAACACATTATATTATAAAAAAGTTGACAGTGAGGCTACTTTAGCTGCTGAGTACCTTCGAAATGTATACGCCCAAGGGCTCTCTGGAGAGGTACACAGTTCTAAACCCTATGGAAGTGGCAACGATTATTTGTGTAGACTACAAAGGTTGTGAAATAATTCGAGGGCTGTTGAAAAGTGGCTGGTATTTATCATTTAACGTAAAACAAATTAAGTCTTCTGGTACGAGGAAGCTAATTCATCACAAGAGGTAACAAATTTTCTAATTACACTGCAACTTAAAGATGTCATCGTCACAACTAATACATCTATCTATCTGTTCGTCCACTGCATATTATCGACTTTGAAATTAATTTATGAAATATGCCATCTCGGTTCAACTGTGTTATAAATAACACGTCCACATAAATAAAAATTCCGTGTTAAAGGTAAGACGTGTATTCCGATTAATCAGAATATTTTTGTGTTAAGGTAGAGGATTAGAGAAATGTAAAAACTAAATGTAACTCTTCATTCTCTTACATCTGCCACACCAGATGATGATTCCAGACTCCCTATTCCTAATTTACTAACGAGATACATTTTAATATTATTATCCCAC